TCTTAGCAGTAAAGTATCTCTACCATTAGCACAAGGGTCTACTCTACCATCAGCCATAAATGTTGTCTCTACCATCAGCACAGGCTATCTCTACATCAGCATAAAGGTTGCTCTACCATCAGCCATAAAGGCTATCTCTACCGCATATCATGCATACATACATATCACACCCCTCTACATAGCAAGTATATACCAGTTATCATAAAACTAGCTAATTAAAGCTACAACATATCACAAAGCCATGCATACATAAAACCTTTAAGAATGCAATGGGGCTACCCACATGGTCTTTACCTAGGACTGCCTGGGTACCCACATGTCTTACATCCAATGCCATGGGCTCCCCCACATGGTCTTTAACTAAGAATGCCATGGGTACCCCACATGGTCTATATCAATGCCACGGGCTCCCCCCGGGGTCTTCCATGCAAAAACACACAATCACATATCATGACAAATCACATATCATATCGAATCACATAATGACCAACACATATAACATACATCACTAATTGGCCGGCCTTGGTGCCTTAGACCATGGGTACGGTGAGGAAGACTCACCTCTCGACTGTTGAACTGATTAAGCTGAAATCAGACATATCCACACGGTATACCCTTCTCAACTGCCCATAATCATCAGGTGATTAGCTTAACACAATCCCATAAATACCCTCAGGTCAATTCTGGTCAAAGTCTATGTCTATAGTTAAGGTCAACAGTCCAGATTGACCTTGACTCGTCGAGTGCAATTAGCCACTCGTCGGGTTCCTTGCTTAACTCGTCAACTCGTCGAGTCACCCGAGAGACTCGTCGAGTTCCTTGATTTTTACGGCCGTAAACTCCCAACCGTACACTCTTGACCGAGAACCCTTGGCCATAAACCTTTGGTCGTACACCCTCGGCCGCAAACCCTTAGCCGTAAACCCGACTCGCCGAGTCACTAGGCGACTCGACGAGTTCCTTTATTGCATTTTGTTTCCGATCCTTCACAGTGGAATCTGGAGTCCTAAACTTCAAATCCAACCTTCTCTATCACATATACCACGTAAAGTTGCAAACTTTACGTGCATGCAAGGCCTCATAATGCTAGAAGGTCAATACTATGCTCTCAACAAGGTTGTGTGCATGGGAAGGGTCAAACTACATCAAGGAGCAAATTTTGACTTTGGGGACCTAAAAAGGTCCAGATCTGAAACTATATCCCAATGATACGTCCAGATCTAAAACTGGACTTCATTTGCCCAAAAATGGACATGAACTAGAAAGACGAGAGATCTAAGAATCTATTGAGCAAGGTAACGACTTTTTACCTTAAAATGATGCCCAATGCTGTGTAGATGCGGATCTACTGCTTCTTCCCCTTGTTCTTCTTCTAGATTCTTCTTCAACCCTCCAATTGCTAAACCAAGCTCTCACTCTCATCAAGGAGTTCTCGGGCGCAAACGACCTTCTCTGGGATTATCATTTGGTGCCAAAGGAGGCTACTAGGGCGGATAATGACGTTTATATATAGGGAAAACCAAACCCACGAACTAGGGTTTTCTTTAAACAGCTCGGACTCGATCGCCGTCGACCCTCCGACTCGTCGAGTCAGTCCCAACCCGCGTCTATGATATCACGACTACTCGACGAGTTGGACTCCCAACTCGCCGAGTCCATGCACAAACACCCCACAAAAGCAATTTCCAATCAATACTCGAAACAGGTGTTACAGTACTAAACAATTGAAACACATGCTCTATAAATATGTTTTTGCAAATGGTTATCGATTATGTTTTGTGAAAAATGATAGTAGACGGTTGCTAGCCAAATGTTGTGATGGAAAATGTACATTTAGGGTTTGGGGTTCATGGATCAGTGATGATAAGTCTTTCTTAATCAAGTCTCTTATTAGTGACCATAATTGTGCAAAGAATTTCAAATTCGAATCAATTGTCACTTATAAATGGATAGGTACCCACTTTACCTAACATTTTTTTAACAATCAAAATTTGAGTGTCAGATTACTTAAAGAGGAGGTGAAAACCACTTTTGGCATTGTTGTGAGTATGAGTCGGTGTATGAGAGCCAAGAAGTATGCATTGAGTCTAGCTGAAGGCACGGTTGCAGAAAATTATGCTAGAATATGGTCATACGATGAGGAGATTAAAAGATCAAATACTGAATCCATTGTTACATTTTTTGTGGATGCAATGCCTGATGGTAAGAACTACTTCAACAAGATTTGCATATGCTTTGCTGCAGTCAAAGAGGGGTGGAGGGGAGGGTGTAGAAGGATCATTAACTTGGACGGTTGTTTCCTGAGAAATTTTTTCCAAAGTGAGTTGTTTTGTGTTGTTGGTAGGGATGGTAACAATGGAATATTCCCAATTGCTTGGGCAGTTGTATATGTGGAAAACAAGGAGAATTGGAAATGGTTCATTGAAAATCTTTCAGAAGATTTGCGGTGTTGGAATGAAGGAAGTGGTTTGGTTTAAATTTCTGATCAACACAAGGTATGTTTCTAAAATATTAAACATAATATAATAAATATTTACATTTCTAACTTCACTCATTCCTGTTACATATGAAGGGTTTGTTGAGGCAGTCAAAGAAGTATTCCCAGCAGCAGAACATAGGCAGTGTGCTAGGCATATATATACCAATTTTAGAAAAAAGTTTAGTGGAGCCAAGTTTGAAAAAAAAATTGGAGAGCAAGCAAGGCAACAACGGAAGCACATTTTAACATAGTCATGAAAGAGATTGAAAATTGAATCCTGAAGTCGTTATGCATATTATGGATAGAGATCCAAAGACCTGGTCTCCAGATTTTTTCAGAGTTCACAATTCATCTTGTGAGTCTGTTGAGAATAGCTTTTCAGAGAGATTTAATAGTGTCATTTTGGATGCTAGGAAGAAACCTATTATCAGCATGTTAGAGGACATTCGTATATATGTGATGAAAAGGATGGTGACTATGAAACTTATAGGTCAAGGATGGAATCGTTACTCTATTTCTCCAAATATCAGAACAAAATTAAATATTCTCCAAATTGACCAAAGGTTTGCATACTTATTTATTCATACATACCTTACCTCTCTCAACTCTAAATATGTGCATTACATTATGTAGGCATTGGTAGGTTGTGTCTTGTGGGGGTATGAAGTTTGAAACAAGGAAAATGGATGAGTCGTACATTGTTGATGTCACAAAAAAGGAATGCAGTTGCAGGTTATGGCAATTAAATGATTATGGTTGCGTTCATGCAGTAGCTACATTAGCGTAGTTAAACATCACACCTGATGGACCATATGTAGACCCATTGTACCTGGGAGCCTTCTTCCATAATACCTACAAAAAGTCCATTAATGGCATGAATGGAATGAACATGTGGCCTTCTACAGACTATATACCTCGATTGCCTCCATTGAAAAGAAGAATGTCAGGCAGGCCAACCATGAAAATAATAAGGGATGCTTCTGAAAGGTCTAGAAAACACATGGTTTCAAAGACAGGGAAAAAGGTTTCTTGTGGCATATGCAAACAGAAAGGATACAACAAGACCACTTTCACTCAAGTGCCAAGGACTCCTAAAACTAATGTCACAAAGAAACAAAAGATTATGCAAACACAAGAGTCGTGAATATGCAAGGGGTGGGGAAGATGTTGTTATGGGTAATGTAGTTGAGCCACAAGCTGAGGAAGTTGTGAGGGTAAACGAATCTGAGGAGTGCTGAGGGTTAATGAAGCTGAGGAATTGGGCGGGGTTAATGAAGTTGTTGGGCATGTGTATAGTACAGGTCAACCAAGCAAGAGGAAAAAGTTTGAGAGAATTCTTAAACTAAAGCTTGCTAAAAGGGTTGAAGGTGAAGGTAGTAGTGTTGGATCGCCAATGGAATTGGATTAATTACAGTTTTAATTGTGTGTTTGTTATGTGGATTAAGTAATGTTATTAATGTGGTCGGGAACAAGGCAATTTATGTTTGTTATGTTCATGTATGTTATACTAATCTTAACATGTGATATCTGGATTCGTGTATATAATTACATCATGTATGATGTTATTTATATTAGTGTGTACGGGGTACTTTAGTCATTACAAATATTTAAACAGGTACGGGTAGTTTAGTCATTTGAGGTAATTAGGGCAGTAATGTTAGTTTAGGGGTAGTTTAGTCATTCGAAGCAATTAATCCATAGGGTGTATGTTATTTCAAGTAATTAATAAAGTAGGGGTATATTAGTCAATCAAAGGATTTGTCGTTAGGGGTATTATTGTCATTTCAAATAATTAAACAAATCGGGTATTTTAGTCTTTTAAAGCGGGTAACCCATTAGGGGTATTTTAGTCATTTGTGTCAGGTAACCCTGAAGGGGTGTTGTAGGCATTCCAGTCAGTATATTATGTGACTTAATCCATTAGGGGTATTTCAGGTTTTCCTGGCAATTATCCAAGTGGGAAGGCACAAAAACAACAAAAAAGAACTTTTTCATTGTTTTCCATTTCTGGGTTATAGACAACGACTATGCAGTGGTCCTAAGAAGATGCATCGTGTATTAGATTCTTCTATTTTGTCCTATGTCCCCAACAGAAACATTGGGGTTCATGTTTTGTTTGTTTAAAAAGTTTGAATTTGTCATGTGGTCCCAGGAAGAACATCAAGAAATCTGGTTATTACTTAATCACACATGCACATTCAGAGCTATAACAACAATATTTTAACTTAACCAACATTTAATTCATGGGTTTGTGTTATATATTTACATCTATTATACAAGTTAAAACAGGATTTGTACCTACATCTTACTACATACGACTACTATCACATGTGATTACCATCAAAAAACTAATCATCACAACAACATGATCACAAAAACACCAACCACGACCACCAACTACTACCACCAGAAACAAAATTACAAGGAACAAAATGCCTTACTAATAAGGACAATAAACCATATGCACATCATAACAAAATACAAACCCACGACAGAAATGTTGTAACCTAAAGTTCTTTAGTCATTTTAAGAGCTTGTAGGTTAACACCCCCACAACAACGACAACAAAAACCCCAACAACCCATCTGACTTTGTTGCACTTTTTTTTACCCAAGACGATGTTGACATATGATGCTTGTAGTGAACACAAATGTTTCTTCAAATCAGCAACCATGTTAGACAGATCGAGTTGACCTGCCCTAACATCATCGACTTCATGGTTTAGGGCGTCCAAGTCTCCAGTGACGTTGTGTTGTAGTTCACGAAGGTCGTTTGCAATCTCTTCCCTCACAAGTGACACCTCCAACTGTGTTTGGAGCAGATTGATCGTCATGTCTTCATTGGTGACTCCGTTGGAGACATTCTTAGCCATGTGTCGACTGTAGTTGGGTGGCCAACTGTGATTTAGAGATGATTGTGAAGGCATGGTTTTGGCGATTGTGATTGGAGTTAAGTGTGCAGTTAGGGTAACCATGTTTCGAATTATACCATAATCTTCTACTTTTATACGGCGGAGGGGGGAATAGTGCGAACATGCCCTCTATGTTTCACATTCCAAAACGACATCGTTTGGGTCATTGGACGTAATTACGATTTTGCCATGTCATCGATGATGTGTCAAATAGGGATGATGTGGCAAGGTTACCGGGCATTATAAATAATAGGGACTAAATTGCTAGGTTTCAACACACTTCGTTCCCTCATAAAACCATTTAAAAAGTTAAGTAACTAAAAGGGTAAAACCTAGAAAGTTCATAGGGCGTATGTGTAGGTGGTATTTTTTAAAATTTTTAAAAATCTACCTACCTAATAAAAGACTCCTAAAATTGCCACTTGTCATTCTTCTAAACCTATTAAATGCCACGTGGCACTTTTCTAAGCCCTCACAAATAATTTTCCCGCCTATCCTCTATACAATCGTAGAAAACGAATATTACGTGTCTTGGTCATTCAAATTCAAAACAAACCAAAATCTTAGCCTAAAATTGCGTCAATCAGCATCCATATATTCTAGGGATTTATTTAGTATGATTTACCTTCATTTACATCTCGGTCGCTTCCCATGTCTCCAATTATAATGACCGACATAGTTTCTCCGTCCCCCATTAACGTCTCTTCTAACCCCTCACCACAATCCTATTGAAGAAACTTATCATGTATTAGATAACTGTTAAAGTAACTGTGAAGAGATGCGTCTTAAAATTCTATCACGTTATCCATTATTCTCCCCAAAACCACTGACTCTTTGTTTAGGGTTTTTTTTTTACGAACTTTCCTGAGTGACGAAGGGAGAATGTGAGATTCTCCTTTATAAATACTTGATTGCAGACTCTCTGATTCCACCCTTTCATCATATACAAATTGAAATCAGAGCAAAGCAAATAGAAGAACAGAGAAGTGTTCGAAATTTTGAATAATCCAACAAATATGACAGAGCTTGAAGTCAAAATTGAGGTTGGTTCTGATGGTGTTTTTGTGATCACCATCTCCAATCCACATGTCAATGTATTTTCCATCTCAAGTAAGCTTTAATTCAAATGCATTTCTTTCGTTTTTTATCCCCATTTAAATCTCAAGAAAAATGGTCGATTCTTTGTTATGTCGCATATCGTTCCCCCAGTTAACTGGTTTTATTAGAAAAATCTTCACACTTTTATCTTATTAGTTTGTTTTTCTTCGTGGGTTCGGTCTTGCTTCTTGCATCTATGTTCTTAGCCAACTCCCATAAAAACTATTGATTATTTGTTCCTTATGTTCTTAGACATATTTGTTAAGCTGGGGTTATATTAGTTTAGTGTTTCCTGCTCAATGTGATGTTAATGATTTATTTTTTATTGCTTTTATGGTTATCCATTGTAGTTATTTCTTGGTTGAAGGAGAAATTTGAACAAGCTACGAGCACAGATGAGTTAAAAGCTATCTTTTTGACCGGTAAAATGCATTGAATAAACATTTTTATTTTACTGAAACAAGTTTGTTTTTTCATTTTGTGTTGATGAACCCTGGTTCAATTGTGTTTTGATGGTTATGAACTATACTTTAATTTTTTGCAAGCAAACCATAGGTGTATACATTGCTCACTTTTGTCTTCTTTGTGTAATGTTTTTGATTTTTTAGTTGTGTAAAATGCAAAGAATAGGAAACTCACAATCAGAAAGAAGTTAGGGAACTGTAGGTCACGTTCAAACTGTTATTGTATTGAACAAAATGATGGTTGCTTCAATTTCATTTCAGGTATGTAACTCTTCAGCTCTATTTAAGTTAAATGAAACACTTCATTCCATATTTTTTTGATTTTATATAACAGACAACCATTTTGGATTTTATATGGAAAACCAGGGTGCTGTATGATCAAGATTATTTCTTTATGATTAAAGAATGAAAAACATAGACTTTATAACATGAAATATAAATACAGGTTGGATCTTGATTGCCATTTTATGAATTACTACAATTAGTTAATCATTTAAATGTTTGAATGATATAAAGCAGACTTATAATTACAAATTGACCATAAAAATGATTTCTAATGTTTGGATGAATTTGTTCTTTTTCTTCTTGATAAGTTTATTTTTATTTTTCTAAATTTTTGATTGACCCTTATATCAGAATATACTTACATATGTATATCAGATAAATATTTTCTAATACCAGATTTAGATTGATCACATGCTTCACAATCCATTGTTTTAACAAGATTTCGATCAGGTCAAAGAATTTTATATATAGTGAATCGAATCAGCTTCACAATATAATATAAATTATAAAAAATATTATGTGTAAAAAAAATAAAAAAGTAGCCCAATTGATTTAAAATTAGTTATCATCGTACAACGAATGAGAAGGCAAACGGGCAACAAGTTAAGCCGCTAAACCCTTTGGTATGGTAAAGTCAATTCTTTTGAAAACTACATCCATAGATCCGGGAATATATAACATTGCTATGCATGATTCCAATATTCCCAGCCGATGGGATTTGTCCGGTGTGCCGCAAGGCATGTTTGGACTCTTTCAGTGAGCATGCAGTTCATTGCAAAGAATTCTCGGGGTTCAAATACAGGCACGATATGGTTAGGGATGTTTTGGTCGACATATGTAAGCGTGTCGGGGTCTCCGCCAAGAAAAAGACTCCTGTAAATTTCCTGACTAATCCGACAGAAGGAAGGTCAACCCTTAGACCGACTGACGTTTTGATGTTTGGATGGGTTGGAGGGAAATACGCATGTGTGGACCTTACAGGGGTATCCCCTCTCGTAAGCTTGAGGGTCGGGGGTTTCACGGCAGGACAGACTGCATTAAAAGTTGTTACATGCAAGGTCACCAAACATGAGAACCCATGCATGAAAAATCAACACGCGTTCATACCATTTGCATTTGATACGTTTGGTTTCCTTACGCCGGATACGGTGGAGCTTCTTAATAAAGTACAACGGATCATGCATAGCAATGTTATATCCCCAGATCTATAGATGTAGTCTTCAAAAAAATTGACTTTACCAATAAAAAAAATAACATGTCTTTAGGTTAAAGATGATATTTGATATTAGCCTACTTTTCTTATGCATATAAGTTGTTTTCATTAAAAAAGTTATGTAAGTTGTTAATGCATAAGTGGTCGAAGTATTAAATATTAGACTTTATATGTGAGAGCAACCAGTATAACTGGATATATAAATATAGGGCGTCTTCGGTATTGATCCTTTTATACCATTTATTTTTGACAAACTCGCCAAAGGATGAATCAAAACTAAAAAAAGAAAATGATAAAGGTTATCTGTTAGAAAAAAAATGAGTTTACCTTTAGACAAAATGAAGAATCGCTTATTCACTTGCGGCTTTTAACGAATATATTTTCTGAAAAAAAAATATTATATTCCGATGATGATTTTTCTCACATAAGCGAGGAAGAAATTTCCTGGAAACTGCCTATAACCAGTAGCTACTGCTTACTCTGCATGAAAAAATCGAATGCAACCAACGTTTCAATCAACGGTGCACCCGGCACTCACCACCTCCCATCCACGTGTCCAGCATCAAATACCACGTCACACTATACTCACTCTATTTAATGCCTTTATCCCCGACACATATTTAAGTAGAACAATTTAAAAATGAAGGCTAATCCCTTTTCCATTTCACTTTCCCTTACACTGATCACTTCTACTTACTTTCTACTTCCTCTAATTTTCTACTTCCCACATGCAACAAGAGCTGTAGCTGCCGCTGGTGGCGGTGGTAGTGGGGGTTCGGTGCCGGTGATTGATGGACCTACGGTGAGGAAAGACGAGAGGTGGCCTTTGTTGTCGTCGGAGTTTGGTGAAATATCGGCTGTTAAGATCAGTGATGGCAGAAATGGGAGTTACCACCTCCATTTTATCACCATGGATACTCAGTCTCTCTTACTTCCTGTTCAACTTTATTCGGAAATGATTTTATATGTTAACTCAGGTATCCTGCATGCGCTCGTTAACGTAAATTTCCAACAACATATATATTCTCAACTTTTTCAGGTTTATTGTACAAGTTATATTTTGTAGCCATTCACGACTTTAAAATTTACAATTTGGAGTAGTTTACAAAATCAACATGGGCTTTCAGCCTTTCACAAATTATATAAAAGGTTCTGTTCTTAAATAAAATCATAGATAGAACAAAAAGTATTGAAATCTTAGAGATATGCATGATAAGGATGTTAGATTTTAATTAGGTTGAATTAAAATATTTTCGTCAACAGATTAATTTATTATATATGTGTAACATTGATACTACTGATACCCATATATTTATTATTGTGAATGTTAGATCGTTGTTCTTGTATAGATATCAATGAATAGTTTAAATATTAATTCATACTTTGTTGCTGCTAATTAATTTCTATGCTGTAAGACGTAAGTATCATGAACATAAAAATCGTAATGAGTTAATACATATTTATAGGAAACGTTTGGTTTAGCTATTCTTTATTAAAGAAATGTTTGACCAATTCTAATTAATATTTTATTTATTTATTTATAAAATGATGCTACAATTATTGCTATAGTAAAAGACTAAAAGGTAAGGATAAGGTTTATTTCTGATGGCTTAACCAAAGTCACTACGTGAAAGGTAATATGAAAGAGATGTATGCATATTTTGGAGTAATCATCGACAAATGAGTGGATGAACTTATATTGGAATTTCACAAAACTGAAACTGAAAACATTGCATTTGGAGTTTAACCAGATCGATAACACCGAAGTCCAATTAAGGATTTTTTTTAAACGTACTGAATATTAATTATGATCAGGCAGCGGAAGCCTGAGTTGGATGGACGTCAACAAAGATGACGATAAACTTCAGCAAGTAAATTTGAAGAGCGGAGACGTCTACAGGCTACAACCGGAAACTGTGTTTTACCTTGAAAACAACTTAGTGGACAACGACGGGCAAGAACTTCAGATTTACGCCATTTTTTCTGATTCAGATGACGAGCTACTACAAGTATGAGCATCAACTCATAAACATAATTGTACATGCATGACAACATGAGCATATATCGATTGAATCCCATAATATTAGCCTTATCTTATGTTATTCATTTTATAATTTGACATTAAGTGCAATATGTTCCACATGTTGCAGAACAAACAAGGCGACGAAGTATATGCCGGGGTTCATGATTTGGTGCTAGGGTTTGACAACGTAGTCCTTCAAGCCGCCCTCAATGTACTCTCTCTCTCTCTCTCTCTCTCTCTCTCTCTCTCTCTCTCTCTCTCTCTCTCTCTCTCTTCGAAATTATGTAGTTCCTATCTTTTTAAAGACAACAAAAATGTTTGACTAAGAGCATGAAATCACTGTCTAATTCTAGTTGCCAGGAGAATTGATGGAAGAACTAAGAGCAGGAAAAAGACAACCTTTGATTGTGCAAGGATTGCCTGTAGTTAATAACTCCATGGGGGAAGTTGGTTCTAGGGTTACCAGTTCCTTTCTAGGAACCAAGAACAATGACATCTTCAACATCCAAAATAAAAAGGACAAAAACAAAAAGAAGGCATATAATATTCATGAGTCGGATCATGATGTTGAAAATTGTTATGGATGGAGTGCATTCGTCACCAAAAAACAATTGGATGTGTTGAAAGACACTGATTTCAGTGTGTTCATGGTGAATCTAACAAAGGTCAGTTTTTTAACACTTATTTTAGAACGGAAGATTTTACTATATTGGTTTATGGCTCTCATGATGGTGTATTGTTGAAAGGGATCGATGATAGGACCACACTGGAACCCAAGAAGTGCAGAAATAGCGATTGTGCTTCATGGACAAGGAATGGTTCAGGTGGTTTGCCCTACCATTACAAATGAAAAAGTATGCAAGAACTCGAGGTTTAAGGTTGCAGAAGGTGATGTGTTTGTGGTGCCAAGATATCATCCAATGGCTCAAATATCCTTCAATAATGATACTTTTGTTTTCATGGGGTTCACGTTGACATCAAAGGATAGTTTTCCTCAATATCTAGCTGGAAAGTTGTCCATTCTCCAAAACTTAGATAAAACGGTGTTGGTGAAGTCTTTTAATGTCAGTAACATGACAATGGATCAAGTTTTGTCCGCTAAAAAAGAATCGATACTCTTAGATTGCACCTCGTGTGCGGAGGATGAGGAAAGGGCGATGGAAGAAGAAGAAGGAAGGGAACGGGAGGGCGGAAGAGGGGGTGGTGGTGAAGGGAAGCAAGAGACAGAAAGGAAAGGAGAAATAGCTATAAGGAGGAAGGAAGAAGAAGTCGGAATGGAAAGGGAATTTGGAAGAGATAGAGGTGGAAAGTCGCAAGAGGAAAAAATGGACGGAGAAAGAACTAGAATGGAGAAGGAAAAAGTAGTCGAAGTGGAAAGGAAGGTCGAAGGGGTGGTGATAAAGGATGGCAAGAGGCATAAAAGGAAGGGAAAATATCTTTAAGGGGGAAGGAAGAGATGGAAATGTGGGACTTGTGATGGAGAGACTTAGGAAGTAGCAGTTAGGCTAAGAGCAGTGGTTGGGGAAGGTGGTAGAGGTGGTGGAAGTTATGGTTGGGGAAGGTGGTAGAGGTGGTGGAAGTTATGGTTAAGAGATCTAATGCACTGGAATAAACATAATGTGGTTGATGTATAATAAGAAGATGACAGGTGTTATGAATGTATTGAATTTGGTTTGTGAGATTTGAAGAGACCAATTTTACTTCTTTATTTGCTTAAAACCAATAAATAAATATGCAACCAATTTGAATATAAACTTATATTCTCAATAGCATTTTCTTAACTCTCTAGTTTTAAGTGGGTTTGATTTGATATGTTACATGGAAACTATCATGATCGAGTTCCCGTCGTGTCTCTTTTATGAGAATTTGAAGCTCGTATCTTTTAAAATAGTGGTAATTTTAGCGAAACTCGGTGTATCTTCTGAAATACTTGGCAAATCTACTAAAACCCCAAGTACAACGACAAATAAACTTTTAGTTGTTTTCAATTTTTTTATGATGAAATCAATTTGACAACTGACTGGATAAAACTTAGTGTCATCAAATACGAGGCATCTAATATACAAAAAGTTTTCCAAACACCAATTCTCGCATTTAATATTGTCACACCCGACCTTTATAATATAAACATGTTTCAGTTATCATTATGAGTATATGTATGTTAATGTGTGTATGTGTATGTTTTCTTAAAAATAATTATCTGTGTGATATATGTTGAGTCTAAAATTGTATAGAGCCCTTATAAAGAGATGAAAGACTCTAACATATATAGACACGTATATTACCGTGTCACATTGATACAGGATACATTGGCACTCCCCCAAGATCTGGAAGCTTGATGAGGTAGACATGGATGTGTTAAGTCAACGGGGTGCAGGACATCGACTCTGATATGGGACCATGTTGCACTAATCTACGATATACTAACACTCCCATAGAGACGGAGGCTCAATGAGATCAGAAAAATATGTGTTAAGGCACAGGGGTGCAGACACCGGCTCTGATACCATGTAAAATACAGGTAGAGTCTAAGCTTGTTATATAGATACGAGAGACTCCAACATATACATAGACATAAGAGACAGTTTCACACTTATGTAAGATACACTAACATTATCATTCAAAACACCAACTCTCTAGTAAAAATCTAGAGAAACAAGGGAGAAAATTACATTATGGTAACAACATTAGAAAGGTTTTGAACCTATTATGACCAATTTAGATTACTCCTAACACGTAACAACTAAAAGAAATTAATAATAAATACGTTAAAGTGTTCAAATGATAGCTTTAGAAGCGAATGTAAAATTTGTGTGCATTATGTTTGTGAACCAAAAGGGTATTTTCTTAAATATAAGAAAATTTTGTAATTACATCCCTTTTATAAGCTATTATGAGTTTATAGGTTTATTTGTTAATGATATGTATATGCAAGACCTCTTGTGTGCATTTTAACGGAATTACTGTAGAAAAGGCCCTTGTATACACTATAATGGAATTAGTGCACAAAGGCCCCTTGTGCGCACTATAATGGAATTTTTGCCCTCTTTTACGCACTATAATGGAATTTTTGCAGAAAAAGGTATAGGTTATAAATTAAGTCTTAGATCATTCATGACCTTATAAATCAAGATTTTGACCTCATATGTAGAAGATTTCTAAACAAAAAGTTTTAGTAGATATGGAAAGGAATCAAGAGATAAAAAAATCACCCATATTCGAGCTCTTATGAGCAATACATGAACCTACAATGTTAGGAGAAAATTTATGAAAAACTTATGGAAATTTACACATTTTTAAGATATCATCTTTGGAGCTTTATAACTCAAAGATTTAGAATGAATGGAAAAGAACTCTATAAAATGAAAGTGTGGATTGTTTGACAGTTGACAAAGAAAGTATAAGAAAACGATTCAAATAAAGTGAAATTAGAAGGAAGTAGTTATGATCATATGAAAATGGCATATCCAAAGGATAAATTGAAAAAAAAATAAGTGAATACATATGAACATGGATTTATAGTTCACAATATAGAAACATTCAACCAATGGTCAGTAGAAGGAAGTTGTAATACTCTCAATATGGATTTCGAAACACCAAGACACATTGAAATAAGACTTAAAAAGAGAGTTATTGAAGTTTGAAAATATAAGAGAAAACAAGAGTTTTTGAAGGAACATAAATAAAATTCATAAGCTCACCCGGTCCACTTATTTGGTGTGTGGCGACACATGCAGAAGAGGTTGTGACATAAATTTTGATACAAAATAGATCTCTCTCTCTCTCTCTCTCTCTCTCCTTTAGTTTGGCAAGTAGAACATATTATTCAGACTTTATTTGGCCCCGATTTAGTTCAATTATCGGCAGTATTGGGGTATTTTTTCACTTTAAAATCATAATAATCTTTCTCTAAAAACCTCAAGAACACTTAATGTATGTGTTATTGGTGAAATTATTGTGTGTTGATAAAAAATCAAGGAATTAAAGAAAGGGTTTAAAGGTATCATACTCATCCAAGAAAGAACAAAAAGTTATAACCTTCTACCATTAATTTGTTTTGATCATATTGGCAATTGTTGGAAATCTTGACATAACCTTAGTTCTTAAAGGGTTGATACATGTGGGTTATATGAATATATTATCATTATATGATAATGGTTTAACAAGTTATTAACCGCTATTAGTATGTGATTTATGGTATTGGTTGTTTTAATCAAAGGTACAAGTTATCAATGCATAATGTGATAAGTACATGTCTAATTTTCATTAAGTCTACAATGGGTCAACTATACATGTCAAATGCATGACATGAAAGTACATAGGTTACTAAAAGATTAAAATACCCCTATATAGGTCCATTACACTTCTTAAGTCTGTAATTTTCATTAATCAACTTAGTCCATAATAGTTACTCAAATTTCACAAGTATCCACTTCGGAATGTCCAATTCCAAATATCAAACCCTAGTTTTATCATAGATCATGCTTTTGACTTCCACATTGAGATACAAGAAACAATTACTATCTAATACATGAACTATTATAAAAATAATGTCTATAACACAAAGTACAAGTCATAAATGCAACGGTACAACCTGGTCATGAAGTTAGGGCATGAATTACCCTAATTCCATCATTAAAGGTGAGATTCAACCATCTATTGAGCAAATGCTAACCACGTGGTGCTCTAGAACACTATAGAAATATTGGGATCCCAACTAAAACACTTTCGATCAACAAAATTGGTGTAAAACCCATTCCTAGGAACTTCCTTTTTCAACATTAAAATGTTAATTATTTGTAAAGAAGGTCCTTACGATGGGCGTACATGGATTGTACGTCGGGCGTAAGTCAGTAATTGGATCGCACCTTTGGTCGAGAACATTGGATGTACACATTGTGTACGCTTGGTGCACTCGTGTTGTTCCCAAACCCTAAATTTTTGGGGTTTGTGTCCCCTATTTAAGCATTTTATTCCCCTTGGACCTTATGATCAACCTCCATCCCTCTTAGCCCTAATATCGAAACCCTAGCCCTTCAGAGTGATTTTTTGAAGCCTTTGAGTCATTTTGAGTGTTCTTGGTGGTGAGGGCGGATGATTAAAGAAGTGGTGGTGCACTCAAGCTCTTGGATCCAGAATCTACACCTCCTTGTTCATCTCTAGAAGGTATAAAGTTCATACCTTGAGGCTTGCTTTTTTAGATCTTGTTTAAGCTTAAGTTTATGTTCGTTTTGTCCTAAACCTTGGTCTCGGTAAGTATGAGCTACTCCAGACCATTTGCGCTATCCTTTTAGACGTCTATGAGTGCATGATGTCATAAAAATGCAAGATTGGTCCTTTCCTTTCTTTCATGCAAGAGTTATGGAGTTTTTGGTGATGTTAGAAGTTAGGGTTTTGGGATTTAGCTCACTTTAGCCATGCAAAGGCATAAAGTTGGAGACTTTATGGATTAGGATGTCTTCTAGGGGTTATATTTGAGGTTGGGGTAAAATTTCCTAATGATTAAGAGCTTAAAAGATAAGTTGGGTTTAAGCTCTGTACGCTGAGCATAAATCCGGTTGCGCCCAACATAGCTAGTTGTGAGCCTGCTATTCGAGTTTTGTGCAATACGCCCAACGTAGGAATGTGGTACGTCGCACGTAATGGTCAATGTGTTGACCTTTGACTTTTTGACAAAGTGTGATCTTTGGAGCAATTTGTGAGGGTTTGGTCTTGGAAGGGGCAAAATGGTCTTTAGCCCAAAATGAGGATTAGGCTTGGCTTGGGACTAGTTGATTTTGGATAGTTACCTAATTGTTAATTAGGATTATTTGGTGCGGTTTAATAGGAGAAGTCTAGTTCCGGCAGTTTGGGTGTGAGTTATATCAGTCTTCTACACGAGGTGAGTCTTTTCACTATACTTGCATGTGCGGTAGTATATATGTGCTAACCAGTTGGGTCTTATTTTTTTTACTGTGATATGTGTTACTATGTGCATTGAGACTTAGGGTGGTCTCCAGGGTTGTTGATAACTCACAGGGCATGCTGTTTGCCCAGTGAGACTTCGGGTAGTCTCCAGGGTTGCTGATAACCCATATATGTCATTTGTGTTGTGTTATATGTGGTATTTTGGGTAACTCACTAAGCTTTGTGCTTACGTTTTGTTTTTTAAATGTTTTCAGGTTTTCTTATATTAAAGGAGGGGCACGGCTCAATTGCATCGCATCCACGGGATATTTATGCATGTGATAACTTTTGATGATACTTTGATAAATGTTTTGAGTTAAATGGTTCTATCTAAGTTTGTCCTAAGTTGTGAAATTGAATAATTACTTAAATTTTTTAATGAAAATTTTGGGTGGAAGTTCCGGGCGTTACAAGTTGGTATCATAGCCTTGGTTTGAGGGATTCGGGCATACTCTCGGGTGTTCCTGAACTCAAATTGAGTAATTGGTAAATTTTT